TATTTTTTTGTTAAATTGTATTCTTTTACTAAACTGTATTTTTTTATCCAAATTTCCTACTCAATTCACTAAATTGTATTCATTTTTAATTTAGCTGTTATTAACTCAAGGGACCTAGTTGTCAAAATTCTAATTTCATTTATACCATTATTAAATTAGGAATTCTTGGATACCAGGTGTCAAATTGATGTACAGGATGTAGTTTGGAAGATAAGTGATATCCCAAGACAAAAACGGCCTTAAGATCGACAAAACTAGAACGACTTTAGGCATAGGGCCCAAAGTTCATCAAATGCAAGACTGGTTATTAGAGTTACATAATACAGCCCTTTGTACACATGTGCAAACCTGTGAGGCCATTGAGAGGACAGTGAGGATGAGCGTAAGCCTTCGTCCAAAGACTACCAAAAGGAGACTGGAGACCTCCTAACAACAAGTGAGGCATACGCCGTGGAGGAGAGTGACCTAAAGTCAGAAAAATGGAAATAGGAGGAAACTTATGGGAAACATTAATGAATATGTATAGGCCTAGAGTATAGAAATTTAGCTTGAAGTGCTTTGTTTGGTACATGAGGAATGGTGGGGAACCCCCTCCATACCTGGTCGGTTTTGTATGTGAGGTGGAGTGAGAAACCTTCTCTGTACCCCACTTGGTTTTGCTTATGCTTTGATCACACTTAATTACTGCCAAATTATATATAGAAATTGTATTTTTTTGTTAAATTGTATTCTTTTACTAAACTGTATTCTTTTATCCAAATTTCCTACTCAATTCACTAAATTGTATTCATTTTTAATTTAGCTGTTATTAACTCAAGGGACTTAGTTGTCAAAATTCTAATTTCATTTATACCATTATTAAATTAGGAATTCTTGGATATCAGGTGTACCTTATCCATGTGTCCTGGAGTGACTTTATCTTTAAGATAACTGAGAGCTGGAGAAGTTGAAGCTGCTGGAGGCTGATGGGAGTTTTTTCTCCTGACAAATAACTGGCCATTTCTGAGAACTGGCAGCGGTTTTAACCATTGAGAAGTGAGATCAACTTGTGAACACCACCTT